TTTGTACAGACTGCTTTGTAATCATAATCATAGCAAACATCATTCTGGAAACCTGCCCACACAGGATGGCTAAGAGTGGAGCTGCTACAGGGGTGCGCAAAGCAAAGAATGCTCATCTGGTTAAATACCAAACTCTCTGGGGCTATGGCCTTGATTTTCTGCTATCTCACTTTTCCCATCACCTACCTCGTGATCACAAGATGAAACAAGCAAGCAGACACTTGGACTTTTGCACTGGACTTTTCCACGGAACTGAGTGGCTAAGAGCCAGCCAGAACACCTAGGTTTAATTCTTGCTCTACTTCCTTGCTGCCTCCAGCAAATCACTGAACTTCTCCTGCCTTCATTTCCTCATGCGGCTGTTGGAAGGATTTAATGATTAAATACAATAATGTAAAACGACACTGAAAGCCCTGCCTGGTACAAAGCAAGCAAGCAAGCAATCATGATCAAAGTCACCATAAATCCACTGTGCTTCCTGGTGCAGGGCATATCAGAGGAGGTCCCTGGGAGCCAAGCGTGACTGCTGCTGGTGTGGGGCTGCGTACAAGGAACACACTCTGGAGGGGACACGGGAGCGGAAGGAGGCTGTGCAAAGGGCAGAAGGGAGAAGAGGCATCTCAAGAGTCTCAGGAGTGGGGCCAAACCACATGAGGTTCGGTAGAGAAAGCTCAGCAGCTGTAAGAGGCTTAGGACAGTCTTGCAAGTGAAAGCGATTCTCAAAGACACTAGGAAGCGCCCTCAGAAACGAAAGGCAGAAAAAAGCCTTCTCTCATCATTTTTGGCTTTCATCTTTTTAAGTTGTAAAAGGAGGTCGAGGACAACAGGGTTTTCTGATGACATGGAGCATTGGGCTTCAGCACTTCCTGCTGGGAGAACTGAACCCAAGCTGTTCTTTGCTGCCTGGTGAGGAGCCAGAGGAAGACAAGAGTAATCTGAACAGGCATTCCCCACCTTCGGGGAAAGGCGGAACCCATCCTTCTGCAAATCCCAAACTGCCTCACTCCACAAAAACAATTTTTCCCTCCGTCAGAAACAGACGGGGACACAATTAAGCAATGCTGTCGGGCTGGGTCAGTCACAAGTGGCCTGGAGGAAAAAGCTGCTCATGCTGTTCCCTAAAGGGGGATAAATGGCAACAAAGGGAAATGACGTTTGGAATTAGTTGGGGTGGGGGGGGGGAGAGAAAAGTGGCCGGCAGAGGCCTCCTTGAATAAACAAGGCTTTTCCCCAAAGGGCTCTGGGTGGAAGGCCGTCAAAGCAAGCTGTCCACACTCCTCCCTGGAAACTCTGGAGGCTGGGACTGTTAGCTTCGATAGGTGGCCCAGGGGTCCCTCTCAGCAAGGATACCCAGAAAAAGCCAGAGCCTCCCCCTCCAGAATTCAGGAATGTGGTTTCCAACGCAAACAGATACTAACACTGCAGAAATACAGCTGGAGTGTGTCCAAGCCTTCCCTTTATGTCCTTTGAGTCATTTGGAAATGGTTAACAAGCGGGTTGAACACCTGGGCTGATTACCCCAGAAGGGGATTTCCAAACAGACCGTGTGCTGTAAAATCATCTCTTCCCTTCCCCAAGCAATTCAGCTCCACTTAGTCTCTGAGGTGTGCCCTGAAAGATGCCAAATTTTCTAACTCTGATTTGAGGCTTTACCGAGTTACAGCAGCAACTGCTGCTGACACAAAGGAACAAGGCGCCAAGTAACTGTGCTTTTTAAAAAGGTTTATTTTAAATTAAGAAGAGCAGATGTCCGATGTTTCAAAAAGCCACACATTTGTGGATTTGGCTGACAAAGCCTCTAAGTTGCGTTTCATTTCTGTTCCGAGACTCAGCCAGCCACTCAGAACTGACTCACTCTCTCTGGGCCACAGTTTGGGCCGGCATCCCAACTACAGAGTCTACGATCTCAGACCTCGAATCCAGGGTGTATGGGGAGAGCAGGGGCCATGTAAAACCACCTTTTTTTTTTTTTTTAAGTAGCATCAACACCCACACAGCAAACCGTGGAAGGCTAGTAGGTCAAACAGTGAGCAAACAGCTGGCACCTGCCTGCCCCAGCGCCGCACAACTGTAAAGGCAATGAATAAGCAGCTGTCCAGAGCAGGTTTCTGTTATAATCCCTCTTGTGAGTTCTGGTTCAGTATGCAAATACATGCAGGTTATTTGCTGCACTTCAAGCCCTCATTCTCAAGGCAGAGACGTTACCTCAAGTGACCTCTTGGTCTTGCTGGAAAGGGAGGGGCCAGGAACCCCAACCCCTGACTACCAGACACAAACGACTCCATTGCTTTTAGAATTTTAAAGAATATCATGGGCTTTCTTTTCTTGTTGTCTTTGAGAATAAAGGAACAAAACAGTTCACAGGCAGCAGTTCTGTGTAGCATTTCATTTACTATGTTTTGGGACTACCAGAGAAGCTTTGATCATGCCAGTTAGAGGTGGAATGTTACTCGGCTTTCAAAAATGGACACTAAAACTCCTGCTTAGGTTGTCTGAACCTTTTGGGAACACACTAATAACTATTTATCAATAGAATAAACCAATCTTGTGTTTTCCTTTTTTCTACTTTTTGGTTGTGTCGCACGCCCTGTGGGATCTCCGTTCACAACCAGCGACTGAACCCACACCTCCTGCAGTGGGGGCATGGAGTCTCAACTGCCGGACTGCCAGGGAAGTCCCCCTCGTGTGTTTTTCTAACAGGAATGGGACTTTCAGGTCTATTGGGGAAGATCTGGCAGGCCACCAAATCAGAATTTCCTTTTACTGTTTAAAACCTCTTGATACTTAGCAAATCTCACTGGATATCATAGATGGAGTGTTACCAATAAAGTTATTAAAAGCTGACCATTCCCTTTTTCTTTATCTACCTTCTAGACTTTTTAGCATTAACTAACTATATAACAAATTAGAAAATGTCAACATTTAAAGCTGGTAAGGTTAGACCCTGGTAGCTTAGATGGTAAAGAATCTGCCTGCAATGCAGGAGACCTGGGTTCAATCCCTGGGTCAGGAAGATGCCCTGGAGAAGGAAATGGCTACCCACTCCAGTATTCCTGCTTGGGGAATTCCATGGACAGAGAAGCCTGGCATGCTGCAGCCCACAGGTTCACAGAGTCAGACTCAACTAAGTGACCCTTCTTTTTCCAAGGTTAGACAAGAATTTTCAGTTATTCATAGTAAATTTTGTGTATCTGTGCTTTGTACCTTAATTAGACTAGCCCCCCCCCCCCCTTTTGATAGGGAAGAAGCGGATTTACTTAGAGATGCACATCACAGACAATGCAGTCAGTCTCAAAAGGCGAGAGCCGCTGTGGGAGAAACACACTCCAAGCCGAAGTGTGGGCCATCTCAGAAGACAAGAGACTTGGAGGCCTGTTTCTAGATTTGAGAAGGTTTTGGTATTACTAATCAAGTCACTAGTTCATTAATTTCTGCTTTTCTCTATTAATCTGTATATTGGATTTAGTTAATAAGTTTTTTAGACAGAGCATATTTACTCCCAAACAAGGGGACATATACAGACAGCATTTAAAATCCTATTTTTGAAGTGAGCGAATGCACTGTTGTAAAATTCTCACATGTGTAGCAAACGCTGTCTTTGATGAATTAAAAAATTGCTAACATACTAACATTAACAGCTTCGTTACATTTTATCTGATGTAATCCTTAGGACAACCGGGCTATATTATAATCTCTATTTTTATAGATGAAATCAAGGCTGAGTTGAAAAACTTTCTCCAGGTCACATTATGTTAGAGGCAGAAATCTAAACCACTGTTAACAGACTAAGCACATGGGTTTCAAAACATATGGAAAGGTTTTTTGATGCTAAAAAGATTGGGGACTCATGAGTTCTTTACATATGGGTCAAACAGAGTTCACCCGAGTTTATAAGAGGGCAGTTAGTTGTTTTATCCAGCTTCTTGCATAATTTGTACTTACTGGATCGCTTTGAGTAACAAGCCTCAAGCTGTCCTCCGAGAGCTAGACAGCAGAACACACTGGGAACACACGCTACTCTGTATCCCTAACACACCAGTGTATTTCAGAAACATCACTTCCAGCCTTGTCTTTTTCTGGATTTTTAGAGAACAGATACAGAGGCCATTATCCAAATGAAAATAAAACTCTTGGCTCTAAGCTCTATACTCTGGGTTATGGTTATACAGAGAATACAGAAAACACCGCATGCTCCTACATGGCGTTTGAAGGAAGGTGCTCCTTAGTACTTGTGTATACACCTTAACATGTTGCCTTGTATTGTCATTGCTTGACATTCACTGAATTGAGGCAGATAAGATGCTGTGGATATTTAAGGCACAGAAGAGACTTAAACAAAACAGAGATGGAATCAAAAGAATTCCCAGGCCCCTTTTTTTTTTTTATTTGCAGGAACATCAAACCATCCATTTACAAAGTTTCTGGCCTCCAATCAGCTGGAATTAACTAGGCCTGTCTTTGGGATCGTGTTATCTGTGTCCGCTTTGGTGGATTAAAGAAAGGAACCAACCAACCGCAGGAACAGGAAGGTAGCACGCGGCTCCAGCTGGAATTCAGCAGGATCACCTGAGCATGCCACACCTGAACACGCAGCGCAGGGAAGGAGAGCTGCTCTTCATTTGTTTTCCGCAAGACTGAACAAGCCACCATCAGAAGTCAAATGTATTATAATCACTTAGACCTTCAGCCTAAGGAACAAGGCTTTCTAATACTTTATTCCAAAATAAATTTATCAACAAATCCCAAAGTCTAGTACAAACAATACAAATCAGATTTGCTTTCCTCTTTCCTTTCTTCAGACAAACACCAAATAAAATGCAGGTGAAGGTGATGAAAGACAATGGGAAGCCAACTTAAGAGACTTACACAAACCCTAAAGAATCTAAAAAACTGTAACAGTTAATGTGAGTTTATTGTTGCTTTTCAAGTAACTACTGCTAGAAAGTTTCCAGGTAGGGGGTAAAAGACGGTTAAGAAGTAACCTTTCCAAAACTCACAAGACAGGTTGCTTGTCCTTTATTTAGTTTTGATCACACAGACTATCCCAATTTTGCATAAAATCCTCTTGATACAGTATTATGGCATAAAAGAGTCAAAGTGCCACTAGACCTAAGGACCAATTCTTTTAACCATAAACCATGGTGCTGGGTAATGTTTGAATGGGAACATTTGATATGGATGGTCAGATGAAAGATACCAAAATGTCAGACAGCCCATCGACTGCTGTTGCCATGAGATTCAACAGTCAACATCAGTCTGATAAGCTACCCGACAAGGTGGTACAGCCATGGAGATGTCACGACGGTAGGCAAAACAAGCAGACATTCAGGCAGGATTTGATCAAACAAACCAGGCATTTCTGGTTTGTTGAGATTTAAACTCAATTCTACACTCAACATAATGTCAGTACCAACTTTCCTAAAGGAGAAAAGTGAGACTATTTATCACCATGCCTCCCCACCCTGCCCTGAGCGAAATAAAATGACCAAGTTCAACCAGAAACATCCGAAAGGAAAAATCACATAAGAACAAACACGAAAGAAAGGAAAGAAAATTAGGTTATAAATAAAAGTAAATTTCTGTCTGCTAAAATCAGAATACGTGCTGAGTTAAAAATTAATTGCTATGAGAAAGCTTGTTTTTCTTTTAAAACAGGTTATTTTTCTCTCCATGTCCTTTGATTTATATACTATCATCTCTCCTGTTTTCACAAACCATTAAGTCCCCTCCATACATCAGTACCTAAGGTGCCCTTTCAGCAGTGTGTAGCCAGCTGCCCAATTTCAACCCAACCAAAAAACGCCTTGGTGGTGGCCCTTTCATGCAAATAAATGAAGGCGTAAGAGACTGAGGCTGTGGTGGATATGGCAAGGCTGAATTTAGTTGGTAGAAGCTAAAAGGAAGTTTAAAAAAAAAAAAACGCTCAAGAAAATGGACACAATTTTGGAATGATCAAAGATGTATTTATAAAGTTTTTTCATGACTTCATTCTAAATATACAGAATAAAAAATGGTGTCAGCTCATTTGTGAGACACCAACAAGATTTTCCTTATACTGTCTCAAAATTGAAAGATCAGTTTCCCAAGAGGGTGTGCAATGCATCATAAAATGGCCTTTTTTCGAAGGTGAGAGAGGAAGGGTTGGGCAGGATGGCATATTAAACTTTACCATGATAGACATGCAAGACTGTTATCCAATCTAGTATGATTTATATACACTTTTGATGACTTAGAAAAACAAAGAAGTCATATTTGACAAGCCTAAAAAGCTTGAAATATTTAACATACTTAGGAATTCTTTTGGGGGGATGGTGCTTGGAATTCTTTAATTGTACCACATGGGCCTTTGAAAGTAACAAACAGAAGGCCAGTTTCTGTTAACTTTGCTGCTCAACATCACATTCCACCCTAATAAAATACAACTTGGATTGAACCGAGGGTGGATTCCTTACCTTAACAAAGGAAAAGTATGTCAGTGCAAGATGTGGACTAAACTGCTTTCAGGGGGGAAAAAAATAAAAACTGACACAGGTTGGAAGAGATAATTTTCCCTCCTGATCTGGAGTCCTCCCACTTTAAGGCAGAACCCTTCCATTTTAAGTTCTGCAGTTAAAACCTCTTCCTGCTTATTTGGTTTTCTCCTTTGGGTCCAACCGCTGCTGGATTCGTTTGGCGTAACTCTGCGCCATGGAGTTGATGATGGACAGGACGAAGTAACACACCATTGCAGCCACCAGCTTCTCAAACGCCCAGGACAGCCAGTTCTCCCCCTGCAGGAAGGAAGGCGGAGCCACCCACGGGGAATGCTTCGTTAGTCTGGTTGTGGAAAGGGAGTCATCTACTATGCTTTAACCAAAGTAATGAGAACTCGGAGCTTATAACCTAATAAACAATTACAAATGAAAAGTCTTATCTCTTCAGCTACCCTGAAATCTACATTCAGGCCTTCTTCTCCCCAGTTATTAAGGTTTCACTTTGTTAAAGTCAACGTTGAATACAGTTTAGAATGGGGTGTGAGGTCATTTCTTGTCTTTCACTACATAAAGTCTTTGATTAAATTCTACTATCTGAAGTCATCATGGGGATACCTGTAGAGAGTAGTGTCAAGATAGTTTTATATATATCCTTGTTCCAATATTAGGAGCAGCTTTTAAAATATAAATGTTATCCATTTCTGGAGTTATGTTTGGTCAACTGAGGGCAGCAAAGGGCCACATAAAGAGTTGTAAGGTCATTAAAAAAACCAACCAAACCAAACAACAACAAAAATAACCCTATGCTTCCTTCAAGTTCCCCATTTCAGGTTATTGCTTACTCATCCTCTTCTAGTCATTTCCTTTCTTTGCTACAGAACTGTTTATACAAAAGGCAGGTTTAGTTTAAAGTTTTTAAGTTCAGTTATGTTAACAGCTTTAGTTTATATTTTTTTTTAAAGATTATTTTTCCCATTAATGAAAAGAAAAAGAGAGCAAAAACAGATATTCAAATGAACTCATTAAATCCAATACTTTGTTATGCTATAAATCTTAACTTTCTAATCCACTTGGAAACTATACTTGCTACTTATAAATAAATCATTGAAGATCAAGGTAATAACTCATCCTACATAACATATCCATTATTTTCCATTAGCCCAATACTTGTTTTGGGGAGCAATACAAAACAGAAGTTACATTTTTCTGCTTTAGACAAAGACACATTTGCCAGTAGGAAGTACACAGAGCTTCAGACTTCTACTAAGCCTGACAAATCTCACTCTATTTGCCTAAAAATGCCAGTGAGTGCTGCGAATGTAACTGCAGCCCGAAACCGTGGGGGTGGGAAAGAGAAGAAAACCAGGGAAAAGTCTCACCTGCGGTGTGCCCGTTTCGCTTCTGTGGTGAAGCTTCTGCCGCTGGGCCTCCAGGTATTCCTGGAATGGCTTCTGCAGAGATGGACCTATGCCGGGGACAGCACTGGAGGCATAGTACAATAACCCCGGGAAAAAAGACACATTTGGGAAGAAAAGCAGGAAAGAATGTTAAAGGAAAATCCACTTACCGCCTTGACTCAAAAAAGCAGGGATTAGACAGAAAGAGGAAAAAACCCAACAACAATCAGCAGAGGTGGCGAAATCCTGTGAACTGTTCCCAATGGATAAATATTCATCCTTTCCCAACCCCTTACAGGAGACAACTCTCTCCCACCAACATGTTTAAGAAGGAAATAGGGGCTGAGAGTCCCTTCCAGTAGAAGAGTTAGTTCTCAGAGTGAGGCGAGCTCAGCCGGCGCTGCACACTGGTGTGGTACAAAGAGCAAAATGAATGACTTCTGAGAAGTCTCACATTTATCACCACCAGTTCCTGTAAGAACTGGTTTGAACCGATTAATAAGGAAATGACTTATGCTTGTGTCATCCCTGGTTGAAAAAGAAACTGCCCGCCCTCTCACTGACTTGTCCCATCTTCTCAGAGGAGGCGGTCCTTTCTCAATCCAAGTCCTTATTAGGACAATCTGTGCGTCATCCTTATCCAAAAAGAATGCATTAGCAAATTTGGGAGGCACCTCCCACTAGTCAGAAGTCAGTGATTAACAAAGGAACAAAGAAGGAACTATGAACCTTGAATCACGTCGTGGTTTATGGTGGATGGCTTGCACAGAAACTACACAACATTACTAAACAACTTGTTCTGAGATGACTGGGATAGTGATCTCTGATAAGTTTATGGGCTCAGAGCTCCCTCTCACCTAGAATGTGTGCAGGCAGTGCTGTTAAACCGGTTTGGCAACTGTAGTCACCGGGCTCCCGATTTAGAAATGCTTGCAGGCATTTAAAAAAAAACGGTAACTTGGGGCGACTTAGAAAACCAAACATCTCTACTTTCTATACCCTCTATTTTCTCATCTGTCATAACAGGGCTAAAAGCTAAACGAGCCCAGTCATTTTCCTGGGGCCAGCAAAGGGTATTTCATGTATTTGCAACAGTGCCTAAAGTATTAATGTCACCACCTTTTTTCTAGAACAATTTCAGTTGCTGCTTTCTCTAACAAAAAGCAGTACAGAAGAGAAATTTCTTGCTACTATATTTACCAGAGGGTAACAAATCCATACTCCTAGCTGACACTTTTCCTTGATCCTGTTAATGATCAACCAACAAGCCCTTAATAGAGTCCTTATTTTATATCCAAACTGTAATTGGTGCTACAGGGAGAGACTAAAACTGCAAGAAGTGGTCTACGTCCAAGAACTCAAATCATTATTATATGGATGCAAAACATACTCGCGGGCACGCACGCACACACACACACACACACGTGAACTCATTTGCGAACAACAGAATTTATAAATCAGTAATAAATTTCTCAATTTTTTGGTAGAGAAGACACACTCCAAAGAAACTGAAGGGAGAAAAGAAAGACCAGTGTGGGGTGAAGTTGTTTAAAAAGTCCTTTAAGGAATACTGAAAGATGTGTAAAAATGCCTGAAGAGATATATGTAGCAGAGTCAATGACTGCACGGATGATTCCAAAAGACCCATAAAACGGACCTCAAAGACGGAGAAGCCTCCTTCCCTCGCACAGACGTCTATGTGGCCTCACGTGAGCCTGGTAAACCAGAAGAGCTGTCTCTGAGCTCTGCTGCTGTTTTTCAGTAATGACTTTTCTACAAGGGAGCAACAATAGTACAAACTTTCTCTTTAAAAGAAAGATTTTCCTTGGGTAGTTCTTTATATAATGCATAAAAGAATGCAAATAGCTCATCCACTTACACTTGAAATAAACCACAGAAATATAAAAAAATCCAATAAAATAAATGCATAAGAAGACTGGCTTTGAAGATTGCAGATTTTTAAGAACTTTCCTTCAGAAATTGATTCCTTTTGGGTTTTTTTGGCTGGTGCACAGCTTGCAGGATCTTGGTTCCCTGATCAAGGACTGAACCTGGCTCCACTGCAGTGAAAGGGCCAAGTCCTAACCACTGACCAACAGGGAATGCCCAGAAATTTATTCTTTCACCCTTAATAACAATACCTTATATCATCATTTTAAACTCCCAAGGGTGGCTAGTTAAGAAAAAAACTTATTTAGTGAGATTGAAATGATTGTAGGCTTCTTTGAACGGCTAGGATGTACAGGAAACAACTTTTGTTTCTTCAGACCTCTAACTTCAGACCAAAGTCAAGTAAAGCTATGGCTTACAGTTTTCCTCAAATCGTTCTCGGGCTCCAGGTCAAGTCATTATTTAAAGAGAAAATTAAGAATCAAGACCCAGTGTTAGAAAGGTTCTACTCTGCTGCTGTTGAGGGAAATGAGGAAAGGACTAGCAACAATCATTCTAAATTCCTTTCAAAATAACTGAAAAGCATAAGTGATTTGCCATTATAAGTCCATTAAGGGCTACTCTTTTAGCTGATAGAGAATATATGTTTACATGATGTGTAACTTTCAAAGAATTCTCCTGGACTAATGAAGAGATTAATTTTTCAAGGTGCTATGTTATTACATGCTTTAGAGTTTTGGGTGGTGGGATGGGAGAGTCAGTTTTTCATAAGAGACTAGAAACACTTGAAAATAGAAAGAAGTTAAAAGTCTTTTATAGCAACATTTTGACCAAAACTTTTATGAAGAAGTGCCACATGATCCAAATAAATCTAAAAAGTTAACATATTTGAAATCTAGGTAATACATGTTACATAATGAATTTTAGTCAAGTCCTCAAGTTTTTAAATATATGCCTCAAAATCTTAGTTTTATTTTAATTTTTTTATGTCTATAAACAATGGCTTAGGTCACACATGCCTCAGCTTATACAAAGCACTCTTATACTAGAGTTTTCTAAATTAACACTAAAGCTCTTTAAGTAATGGACTAGATAAAAACTGAAATTATAGCTTTTACTCTTAACATGCATTTAAGGAAAACAAGAATGCCATCCCCATGACCTCATCCCTCAAGTTATTTTCAAGCAGCAGAAGTAAGAGCCCATTCTAGGAAAAAGAAAAAAAAAAGAGTCCATTCTGACATTCAGGATTAATTTAAGGTACACGCATGAAGAAAGGAGGGAGGAATAACTTGCAACACAGTTGAGTGTCTTTTTATAGTTGGCTTAGGAAATAACTTAAATGCCTTTTCTGAAAGCCATTAAATTCAGAGTACCTTGTGCACCTGGCTAAGGGCTCGCATCTCAACCCATGGTGGGTGGGTAAGATGCTGCAGTTAGGTGCTGATTGAATTCAAAGTATCAGAGTTACTCAATACTAGTTTCCCGTTAGTGGTTGTATTTAAATATACTTAAACTAGCCTTGTAAACAGCCATTTTCTCTAGGTGACAAAGCCTTAAAGAAAAAAGAAGGGAAAACAAAAGCAACAATAAAATTAATCTCATCCACTTTTCCTTGCTGTAGAGACCTTCAACATGGTGGGTAAAAAAAAAGCTGTGTGGACAGTAATATGTTGATATTTATTTCTTGACATACAAAAGCACTTTTCAGGTAATATAATCATGAAGAAACAAATTTCCAACAAATTATTTAAATGACAATTTTTGAACTTAAGAAAGAAAGAAAGAAATCCTCAGAAAATGCAAACAGAAGAGGAGGAGAAAAGAAATCCACAGAAGTCTAAAACCACCCAGAGTTCAAAAGGAGTTTCATGGGAACAATATTCTGCATGCTTATATACCTAACTATATGTTAAAACAGAAACAAGACAAACTTCTCTGCAAAATTCTGTCAAGGGCCGTGATCAATACAAAAACAAAATCTATTATTTTTCTCTAGTTTTTAAAGCGTATGTAACTCCGTTTTTGGAATCACTTATAAGAAACTTGTATCTTAAATTCTCCCCATATCAACTCATTATAAACAAAGGTCTGCACTGTGTTCCCACAAAAAGCCAGAAAAATCTTCCAGAGGAAGCATCACAGTCAGCAGAGGTTGCATAGAGTGGGTGATGTGATTACTCTGGTTTTTCACAATGCTCACATTTTCACTTGTTGGTTGGTCATAAGCATATACACCCATTCCAAAAATTCATAGGTCATTGTTATTCGGTTTTCAAGGAACTCCCTTCAAACTGTGTTACTTTCAAACAAACTGGTTCACTAGATGTAAAAAACACACCATTTGATTTACTTTGAATCCATCATGGACACAGTCATCAAACTAGCACTTACTACTAAAAGACCTGAAATCTTCCTGTTTGGGGTTCTTTTTGGATTTTTCCAGCCAGATGTGTGTGTGTTTTTTTTTTAAACTATAATTATTATTAAGTGCCATCATAAACCTGGGGCATAGTGCTTAGTAACACAAGAGTAACATAAACTTATAAAAAATTGATTTGTCTTGCTTAGCTCTATTTATACAGTGCCCATGTGAAGGTTATGCAGTTAAAATGTCTAAGGGAATTAAACAGGTATAATTAAGTAAAGTTCTAACATAAGCTCTTCTTTCTTAACCACTTTTTTTGAAGACCTTAGCATTGATGTGATTGTGTATGTCGTATCATTGGCTTTCCAATATACTAGAAACTGCCTGACATGGATTCCAAGTAAGGCTAAAGGGCAATAAACCTTTGTTATTCAAGTTTTTAAATGTTTTAAAATTAAGAAACATTTCTTTAAACCTTTATTTCACTATTTGTGCAGTACTTTGAGGCTGATTTATTTAACATTCCTCTGATGATTAATTAGAATATCTAAATAACATTCTCAGGGTGTGATTGGTTAAACCACTGAAAGCTTATGAATGTGAGAAAATGACTTTAGAAGATACAGTTCAGGGGTAGTATTAAAAGAAAGGGAAAAGAAGAGTTTAATCAAGTCTACTGCTGCTACAATTCAGACAGCATAATAGTCTTTTGAAGTAGCCTGTTTTTTGATAGCACCAAAAGCAGCTTTTAAAGGCAGAGAAGCCTAGACCAATGGTCTGTGAACATTTCTGATATATGGATATTACTCATGCAGAGTAAAATGTAT